CCGACGAATTAATAAAATATGCAGATTAATATTTAATAAAGTGTTACGGCTATATTTTTTTTTAATACAAACCTGTGCTTGGGAGTTTAATGATACGAAAAATTAATTTCTGATATCTATTTTTTATTTAAAGAACCGCAAGATTGCACTACAAAGCAAATTACATATTTTTTACCATTGTAACGGGAGAAGTTACTGTATGTATTTTTTTTTTTATATGTACAGTGTCGAACAAAAGTTTTGGCACAGTAAATATTCGCATTACATATATGCAAAGTTTTTAATTGATTTCCGATAATTTTTTATAAAAACATAGTTCATACTATATCAAAACACATAAAAATCAAATGTGTAAACTTTGTGCAAAACTCAGGAAAATCCAATAAATCTGCATACTAATTTGCAATTTTATATTCAGATTTTCAAGCAACTTCAAACTTGCACTTTGATAAACTAAAACTGAATGGACTACTAAACTGCATACTTGGAATTCTTTTAAAAACTACTTTGCCTATATTGCGTAAAATTCACTGTGCCAATACTTTTGTTCGTTACTGTAAGTAAATGAAACTTTAACTTTAAAAAACCAAAAAAAAAAAATAAATTTACACTATTTCAAAATTATTTTTCGAATCATAAATTTTGTTATGATTAACAATGTATTTAATTTTTTTTTTGTTTTAAATCCTTTTTGCTTTCAACACGAGGTATCTTTTTTCTATTGTCATAGCCATAACTCCCTCTCTATTTTTATCAATCAATCAATCAATTTTATAATTTTTTTTCGGCATTTTTCCTAAATACAAGTAGAGCTTTATAAAACTTGTATAACACCAAATGTTTATCAAGCTTAGAATTTTGTGTTATCCGGGCAGGCTTATTAATTTAACCAGAGAATATGTTTTCTTTATTAAGTTTACCCAGTACCCCATTTTAAACTGCTGCCTGTACTGTATCAGAGGTTAAAACTTGTTAAATTTTTATTTAAAATTTTCGGTAAGGAATAAGCGAGTGGATGAAAAATATATAACGGTAAGAACGGCCCATATATATGTATATGAAAGAATACACACATGCGACGTCTCTAGCCATTGTGTGTCACTCCTTTAAATTATAGTCATTTTTTTCTTATTGTATTAAAAAAATAACGTTCGTAACACTTTAGTAAATATTAATCCATATATTAACTTAGTATATATTAAAGACTAGAAGATGACCCGGTGAACTTCATATCATCTATAATTTATCTGATTAAAAATTTTCACTATGGGGGTATCCCCCATCCCCCTCCCTCCTTTGCGAGTTCCAATTTTTTTACGCTATTATAGGTCCAGTAGTGCGATTCACTAACTTTTAACAACGCTACTTGCCGAGTTGTAAACTAACAATTTTTGTTGTTTGCAGTAACGATTGTACGATTCTCTAACGTACCCATTAACAACACTAAACAGCTGACTTTTGCTATTTATTTAAAATGATAAAAAGTGGCACCTCTGTTATCCGAAATGTCAAAATCTACGAAAAGCACAAAAGGGAATAGGAAAAAAAACGCAATCTACCACAGATTCTTCTTAAAAATGTAAGTATTTCAATAAATTGATGAATAAATAATTTAACTAGCTATTGTTCTTTTATCGCAGGATGGCCTCGACTAGCCAAGCAGCCAACAAGCGGAGCCGCGCTTCAATGGAGCAGTTGAGTGGTATGCTGGACTTCTTTTTGGAAAACCCGGGACTAGCCGGTGGGAAGTTTCATCGGCTACACGGGAAGATGGAGCACGAGAAGAAGTGGGAGGAGATGGCTTCCAAGCTAAATGCCATCGGAGGTGCTCAAAAGTCCGCCGAACAGTGGCGCACAGTAAGTAATAAGCCCATTAAGTTTGAACGTACCAGCAAGCAACGTTGCTGTGCGTATGAACTGGTGAATTGGGAAAAATTAATCACTTTTATTTAGGTCTGTCGTTTGTGAAAATAATTATTAACGTAAGAATATCGGTTTTCTTATAAAAGTATATATACAAGTGGAGTCAATCCCATGCATTGTCACTGCACAGTCTCGTTAGTTGTGTGTACATGCATTCATTGTTTGGAACATTGTACCTGTTAATTTTTAATGATACTTTTTTCTTCTTACGTAAATAGGTATGGCGCGATTTGAAGAGCAGAACCAGTGTTCGAGTGCGCGATAGGAAAAGGCAGCAGGCGTTAACCGGCAACAAGCCCGTTAAGCAAGCTCCTTTAACAGAGCTAGAGGAGCGGGTTGTGGCCATCATCGGGAGCAATTATATTGAGGGCCATGAATCTGTGGCAGAAAATGTACCAATGAACTTGGTAAGTTTTAATTGACTTATTTCTGACTCAGTATTAACCACTTTTTCATTATTAGGAGCTCCAGTTGGCCATGGAAGAAGGTGAGGAGATTGTTTTTCTGGATGAGGTGGTGGAGTGCGAAGGTTTGATAGAGGAGGAGACGCGACCGGAAACTCCAAAAACTCCTACACTCAGAACCCCGCGCAGAGGATTGAAGAGAAAGAGAGAGGAGGAGCAGATCGACGTCCAAAATAAATTTTTGGAAATTGCAAAATCGCAAGCCAAAGCAACGAAAGTAAATATTTTATTAATAGATTTTGGAATTTTTAATGATTGTTTTTTAAAATACATAGATGCTGTCAGAAAGTTTCGCCAGACTGGTGGACCTACCATTCCAGCTGGCGGGGGAACTCCGCGGATACGGAGAGGGGTTGAAAGCCTGTGCTGATGCCATAAACAATTTGGCCAGGGCACTCGGTCCACAATAATTTTTTTGAAAAAAATTAGGTTAAGAAAAACTAAAAGTAGATTAAGAATTAGGTTAAGAAAGTGAATTGGTACCTTTTAATTTTCTGAAGAATATTATTATATTCAAATACACTGGTGGCCTCATAATTAGAAATCCGAGTTCACAAGTTTTTTTTATTTTTTTTCTTTTTTGTTTTAATTTATTTTAAGAAAAAACCATAGAGAAAAGTTGTAGACTTGTACTTGATTTATAAAAATTCGAAAAATTTCAGAAAGTCAATATTTCAAACTTTTTAATCAGAATTTCTGGAAAAAATTCGTCTGTTTTATAACCTATTAAATTTTGATATAAATTGTGTAACTTTTAAGTAACTCAAAAATCTCATTGGTTTTTTGAGATTTTTTTTCGCTGACGTTGTGCGTTTTCTACTATATAGAAGAATGTTCGAACATACTTCGTATGGAAGAAAATGCACAACAACGTCAGCGAAAAAAAAATCTCAAAAATCAATGAGATTTTTGAGTTACTTAAAAGTTACACAATTTATATCAAAATTTAATAGGTTATAAAACAGACGAATTTTTTCCAGAAATTCTGATTAAAAAGTTTGAAATATTGACTTTCTGAAATTTTTCGAATTTTTATAAATCATGTACAAGTTAACAACTTTGCTTTATGGTTTTTTCCTAAAATAAATTAAAACAAATAAAGAAAAAAATAAAAAAAACTTGTGAACTCGGATTTCTAAGTATCAGGCCAACAGCGTAGTTATTTTTTTAAGACTGAATTGATCTCTTTTGTATTTATTTAATTTTTCTCTTTATTTTTTAAGTTAATGTTTTTAAATTAAATATTTTTATTTAACACTACATACAAAATTCTGTGAATAAAGTACCTGAATGTGCATTTAATTTTAAAGCTGTGGAAGTTTTTAGTAAATTATTTTGATAAAAATTTTTTTACAAGATTCACAACGTTTTACTTGAAAAATTTTATATACAAATATAGTAAAATCTATAACATATACCAATTAAGTCAAAATTTAAAACTTTGTGCACAGTTCAGAAAAATTTAACAAAATCAAACATTTTATCAAAATTTTCAACTTTTTTTCAGAACTTTAGAAACTTACTGGGTATGCAGTTTTGTTGCTTATTCAATTTTAGGACAATAATGTGGAGGTTTGAAAGTTCTGAAAAATCCCGTTGAATTTTGAGAATTTTTTGTCGGGTGTTACGCATTTTCTTCCATACAACGCATGAAAAAATATATTTTTAAAAGGAAGAAAATGCGTAACACCCGACAAAAAATTCTCAAAATTCAACGGGATTTTAAGAACTTTCAAACCTCCACATTATTGTCCTAAAATTGAATAAGCAACAAAACTGCATACCCAGTAAGTTTCTAAAGTTCTGAAAAAAAGTTGAAAATTTTGATGAAATTTTTGATTTTTATTCAACAACTTTATTGAGCTTGAGGCCGTTTTTTATGAAAAACTATTGTGGAAAAGCAACAATCACAGTGCTTAGGCAACTGGCTGAGTCAGCTGGGGTCGTTGGATCGAATCCCAACTGAAGAAGTCTAATGAGATGTGGTGATCTCCGAAATAGCTATCACTTCTATCATTTTTATAAATTATTGTTGCTTTTCCACAATAGTTTTTCATAAAAAACGGCCTCAAGCTCAATAAAATTGTTGAATATAATTGTTGAACATAAAAAAATTTATCAAGTAAAACATTGTGAATATTGTAAAAAATAAAAGTGTGCTATTTACGTGAGCAAAACTTGTTGTGAAAAAATGCTGATGGAGGGTATTGAATATAAGCTCTCGATATACATAC